TCCCTGTGGAGGTTACATTTCCAGCCCTCCTCTCCCCCCAGAGAGGTTTTTTCCATTTGTTTTGCAGTGTAGGTGTACTCTGGGTTTGTCAAACTGCCTAGCTTCGGAAGAGAAATGGAGACGATCCTCCAGCCCCCTTCCAAAATAGCAGGAGCTGTGCTAAGACCACGCAGCAAAGGGCAGGGGTAGGGGAGCTCCCAACTCTGGGGCATTAGAACAATTTTCATAAAGGGGATGCTGAGAGCTATTGAACTAAACTGGACACCCTGCAGAAGATGGGAACCACTTCCAGCCAGACACATGCTAATTCCAGCCCCTATGCCCAATACTACCTAGGCCAAAGTTCTATGGGTCAGGCAATGGGGAAACCTCCCTCTGGGAGGCTGTCAGGCTCTGCCCCAGAGCAGGGAAACTTCTCCAGCAAAAAGATATTGGCTGGAGGAACTCAGAGCATGTCTACACTAGAAAATTATTTCAAAATAACTCCAGAAATAACTATTTTGGAATAGCATGTCCACACTACAGGGAAGCCTCAAAATTTGTCCAAGGCAGGCTCCCTTAAGGTATGTTTACACACCAGCATTATTTTGGAATAATTAACGTTATTCCGAAATGACAAAGAGCACATCTACACAGCAAACTATTATTTCGAAATAATGTTGAGCTGGGGAACTTCTTACTCTGACTCCTGGTAAACACTCATTTTACAAGACGTAAGGGAAGTTGAAGGAAGAGTGTTCCTTCCACTTCCTGCTGTGTATACAGTGCCAAAAGCAGAATTAAGCTATTTTGACTTCAGCTACGCAATTGAAGTAGCTGAAGTTGCGTAGTTTATTTCGGCTTTAGCCCTGCTGTGTAAACATGCCCTGAATGTGGACATGCTACCACGACTCAGGGTGCATGTACGCAGCAGGGCTTACCTCGAAATAAGATACGCAAATTGAGCTCTGTCAATTGTGTAGCTTATTTCGAAATTGGGAGCATCTACATGGCACTTATTTCGAATTGGTGCAGTCTTCTGACTTCCCTTACTCCTCGTACAATGAGGATTAAAAGAATCAGAGTAAGAAGTCCTCCAGCGTCACAGTATTTCGACATTGTTTTGAAATAACTGCCTGCTGTGTAGATGCAGACTAAGTTATTTTGAAATAATGCTAGTTATTTCAAAACAATGTTGCTGTGTAGACATAACCATAGAGCCTCAGGAAGCATTAGGGAATCATGACTTCAAACGACTCTGGGGAGCAGCTATTTTGAAATAGCAGCAGTGGAGCATCCACGCTAATGCTGTTTTGAAATAACTATTTCAGAATAAGCGTTATTCCCCGAGGGTGCGTCTCCAAAGTCTCCTTCGCGCAAAATAAGCAACACCATTTGCGCTACTCAAACGGCGTAGCTTATTTCAATGCTATTTCAAAACAGCTTATTTCGTCCTTTGGCGCTGTCCTCACAGCACCAGATTTCGAACTAACTTGCTATTCCGAAATTCCCCTTCATGGAACGAGGGCTACTGGGATGTCGGACTAGGCCGCCCCATGATTTCAGAATCTATTTTGAAATACCGGGCTGCTGCGATAGACGCGGGATAGCTATTCCGGGAGCCGAGCGGTATCCTGAAACAGCGCCGCCGTGGCGACATGGCCCCAGGAACGCAGGGGTTCGTATTTCGAAATACCGGGCTGCTGCGATAGACGCGGGATAGCTATTCCGGGAGCCGTGCGGTATCCCGAAACAGCGCCGCCGTGGCGACATGGTTCCAGGAACGCAGGGGTTCGTATTTCGAAATACCGGGGTGCTGCGATAGACGCGGGATAGCTATTCCGGGAGCCGAGCGGTATCCTGAAACAGCGCCGCCGTGGCGACATGGTTGC